TGAAGAGAATTAAGAAAAGGTTAAGTTATTAACCATTAAAGCTAATTGATCTTATGATGAAGAGAATTAACACTTTAATATCTTCTGATAAACATCAATCACCACGATCCCCAAATCACAGAAGCACAAGCCTTGTCACTTATAAAAGAACTCTTAAGATTTTTCCCATCTTTTGTTCGAGCTGCTTGCAATCTACTTTGCTTTTAATAGAATTTTAGAACTTAAAACCTTGCAACACCGTCAGCTAGGTTCATCAGATGCATAAAATATTGATTTTCTTTGTAGGAATAATTGTTAAACAATTCCTCATGGCATTGATACACACACTCTTAGACCATATACTACTTGACACGTGCATTAATATTATACGACTTACTTTTTGTAAGTTTTGAAATGTCAGATCAAACTTATGACTTCCTAATCAAGGTACTCAGAGTATTCAAAAACTTCAAAGGATAATGTTTTTAGCAACTCATGCATTATCTCGAACATCATCCTACTCCATGGGCTCGACTGCTTCGTCGAACAACTCAAATGGTGACAACTCTAGGAATTCTATAACATCCGAGCAAGTATTCCCTTGATCCTTTCAGTAAAACTCTTGTTGATCCGCAAAATACTAATATAGAAAGTCATACTTTTTCTTATGTTGGATAACATAGAAATGTGACCGCTCATTTAAGTCATGCATATCTCCTACATGATGGTTGAGTCCTTTGTCAGGCTGTCAATACCTTTAGAGATGGCAGTGATTGACATAAGCCTTTGTCTGGATGAGGTTGGCCTTGGAGAACTCTCCGATCTCTCAGATGTAGAGGTTCTCTTCTAATATAAAATAGTAGCCTTAATAATGTGGTTTATATTATTTAGCTACTCCTCCCACTTCTGTCCAACATCCCTTACCTTAGCACAAAGACTATCAATAAGGCTACAATATCTCAATCCTAATGTGGCCTGCCTGCTAATTATGTAGTTGATAGAGATGAAAATAATATTCCCCACATAATCAAATTTCCTTTTTGGATGCAATAATTAAGGATAGCTTGATCCTCTGTGACATTAATTACGTTGAAAGTATGCATGAGTCTAAGGAAAATAAAATAGTGTCAAGCTTCTGACTCCTTATTCAAAATAGAACATAAGAGATTAATAATTTTATCATCCTTGAATTTTCAATAGGTTATGATGGTGAAGAGAAAATTAATAATTTTGTGATATTTAGTAGCCATATAATCCTATAACAATTTCCTGATAATTCCATGATATTTTCATGAAAGGCTTATATCATGCAAAAAAAATTGGATATGTATATGGTTGTTTTTTTTCATGGACTATGATTCTCTATGTTATTTGTGTACTATCATGAAATATTTAAGGTGATATGAAATATTTGAGGTGATATGAAGTTAAAGATCAATGAAAAAGAACACATGAAGTTAAAGACCAATGAAATTAACGAGAACTTGAATTTGTGATGGTATTTGAACACATTTATTGAATTTTGTTGATCTTATTAAAGACTAATGAATATCCAAGATAAGAGCTACAAAAATCATTCAGGTGTAGTTATGAGATTACTTGAGGGAAAGTAATTATAAGTTTTAGAGAATTAATGTGAAGCCAAAATGTAGTATTTTCAATGTTAATTACATGTTTTTTTTCATGATTATGATAGTAATACAATTATGAAAGGTATATTTATTGAGTATTGTAGGATACCATGTGCGATGTGCGCTTAAGAGAGCTAAAGAACGAAGGTGGACCAAATATCACTAACACACTAGTACCATAAGTAATCGACATGCAAAGTGACGGGATTGATAAAAATAGAAAAAATGTGCAAGTAAATGATGAATAGAGTGTAACATCTTTTCTAAGAAAACCCTTTTATAAAATAAGGGATCATAATCTTCATGTGTCAAGAAGTTAAAAAGTGAAATACTAGATATTTAGAACCATTTTTAATAAAGCAATTAAATCATCACACAAATCATTGTTCCACAAGAAAATCTTCTATTTAACCAAAAGTTAATAATTAATGAAAATGCTTTATAAGGATCTAAAGTGATCTTTTTTATAGGACTTTGTCTAATTGGATGAGCCACTATAGTAAAAAATCCCCCAATCCATAAACTGGCTCTAATGGCTGGACTCGGCTTGGACATGAAGAACCAAGTACTTGCTCTTCAGATCCCTCAGCTCGCATTGGAATTTATCATGTATCCCTACAATTCAATAACCTTGCACTTCAAGTCAAGTATTTACTGCATCAACTAAACCATGTATAGGATGAAGTTGACTTCAAGAGGTCACTACGACAGGTTCTCCACATTTTGGTGAAGATGGGTGGGTAGCACTAGTGTCTGGTCATTTTAACTCTCACCTACCTCCTCCACTGCATTGTTATCCTGTGCGATCAAACGTGCCTTCTGAGAGGATTATTCACCAATCACCTCTCCAGTATAGTCAGCTTTCTTCTATGAGAGAACTATTACCACATTTAGTTTCAGTTGACAAGAATCCTCATTGCCAGAATCAAAGCCTCAAAGTTAACTATAGTTAATAAACTGTATAAGAAAATACTGAAATGATAATAATGTTATACTCATCCTCATCATTTTTTTCCTTTATAAATGATATTTTTTTTATATATCGATTGATCCACATTTGCATTAAAGTTATGTGGCATCACATGTCTTAGCAATCTACCCATTATCACCTAAAACTGACAATCCCCCTAGAATATGTTCAGTAGATCCTCGGACCTATGGATAAGGATCCTTGGCCAAGTCGCCTCTGAACGGATTGTTCTGCTTATGCTTATTATACAAGCTCAATAACAATTCTTTGTCTGGGGTGTTGGTGTTAGTTTATAGAGTTCTGCCATAGCACAACAAGAAACTAAGAACAACCAATTTCAATATAAAAAAAGGATGGCTGAAGCTCAAAGGAATCTAGCAAATGTCTTATTTTTTTATTTATAAATACCAGAGTCCAAAATCTCTGGTTGTATCCATATCATAATTGATATTTAAATTTTTCAAAAATTCAATATGATTATTCTCGTTCTTATTACAACATGTCTTTTTAGGAGATGAAAGTATTAGAAAATTAAATATGTATAACTAAAAGTGGCCAACCAAAAAACCGACATATGCGAAGATTGATCTAATGGACCTCTTTGATAGGGTGATTGTGCTAGAAGAATGAACCCTTAAAAAAATAATAATAGAAATGATCCACTCTAGGTACATCAACGCGACAAATATCGTTCGAGCATGAATGGTCGAGCACGAGCACACAAAATATGAATGAGTGAATGTAAATTATTGTGTGTGAAAGGGTGAATGATGAAAAATACTGAGTAACCTTGGAGTAATAATTCACCGGTCCTTAACTTCATGACTTGGGAAGAGAATTTCTGAAGGAGAAGACTGACTAAACATATGATTTGACAGGACAATCAGCAAGGGATCCTTAGAGATCTAAATGTAATTTTATCATGTCTATTTTCTACGAGGAAATACTTATATGTAAAATGGACATTAAATGTAAATGTTCTCATCTTTTATTCTTCCCAACATGCAAAAGAATCCTCTAAAGCCCAATATTACAATACTATTCACTCTATTATCTTTTCCTCCCACCGCACTCCCCTCTTTTTTTATGCTAGATTCCTTGGGTGTGCTTCCACAAACCAAAAACCTTATTCAATAAATATAAACAATTTCTTTCATTGACTAGAGGATAACATAAAACTGCATATTTTTAAATAAAAAAAAAATACTAATAAATCAAAATAAATTATAAGTTTCAAGTTAAGTTTATAAAAATTAAAATTTTTTATAAGAAAATATATAAAAAAAACCAATACAAAAATCTACACCTTATGCTTTTAAACTAAAGGACTGAAGTCTTTTTGCCTCCAAGCATGTACTCTCATACCAGGAAGAGATACAGTATTGCTATTGTTTAAATGGAAAAGAAAAACAAATTTACTCAAATCCTTAATATTTATGAAGTTCGGGATCGGCTTCATAAAACAAAATGAGCTCCTCGATTAAAACTTGATAAAACCAAGCACTAGTTGAGCTCAAATCAACCGTGAATAATAATAAATTTAAATAATCTGAGTTTAAACAGTATCCTAGAAACTCTAGAATTATGGGCTCTAACTCGAGCAGACACCAGCTCAACTGGATTCATTTGCTGATAAATTCAATATTTATTATTTTAGTTTTATTATTTATTTTTTTCTAGTTTATATATATATATATATATATATATTTATTATACAATATATGACAAAATTTGTAGAATATTAAGACTTGATCAACAATGGAACAAAGTCCATTTAAAACAATCAAAATAGAACACGCAATTTGTATTGATCTCTTAAAAAAATATTAGGATATTAGATCCGAATATTCTGATCAATTATTTTTCATCTTTTAGTTATTGATTTCATTCACGAGAAGATTCTGCAGTTGCACCAGATTTGTTTTGCATGCAACTAGTGAAGTCAACAACTACATCTTATTTCCACCACGTCATGCATCTTTTCAACTAGAAATTTAAACGAGCAACGCATGGAAAAACAACGGTAACATTTTCTTTCACCCAGTAGAAAGTTGTTGAGGTTATGTACAGAGCGCTATTTACGTACGGAGTACGCACGCAGTTTTACGTGCGTACTTGCCCAAATAACCTTCCAATAACTCAATTATTAGGTGTTATTGAGAGTTTATTGAAGTATAATCTCTCAATAACCTACCAATATATTCCGCGGTTCCGCGCTAATACTTTTTGCTGTTATTCAGAAGTTTTGTCAGGTTATTGGGGGTATTAACCCCAAAAACACCGACATAACTCTTCAATATCTCTCGAATAACCTCCATACGAATGCAGTTCTGCGTGCGTACTCCGTACGTAAATATTTTTCGTTATGTACATGATCTAGAAGCTTTTGATGCAAAGATACAGATGTGCTTTATGCTCTATCAGATTGTAGCACTAACGACAACAGATAACATTTTACATACCTGTCCTGTAAATATCAATTTATTTATATGAAACATTGGGCAGTATATTCTGTTTCCTAGGAATTCCAAATTTTAATCAAGCTGGTCTATCCTTCTGTAACTAGCATTATCAGTGCCCTTAAACGCTATAGTTCATTCCAACTTGCAGAAGGTTCTTGTTTGGTATCTGGAGATCAACAAAACCCTGCCTGCAGTTCCTCCTCAAGAAATCATAAACATAATTGACAATCACTCTCTTCAGCAAAGAAGAATTCTCACTAGCCCTGACCTCACTGTGACCCAGCAAGTAAACAACTCCTGCTTCTCTTGACTTCTCCAAGAACTTAATCTCCTCCTCTCCTTCTACATTACAGTCCCCTTCCTCCCAGCTCTCATTTCTTATGAAGTTCTTGAGGTTCTCCATTAGTAAAACCTCAAACTCGTCATGCCCAATTCTCCTGTCTTTATATCCATATCTTGCAATGCACCTGTACATCTTATAGTCTTTAGGTCCCACTCTTCGCAGCAGAAACCTCTCCTCGGCCGGCACTGTGTTAACGGGCAAGTACTTGACAGAGACGAAGACAAGAACAGAGTGAATTGCTGGTAAGTTCGTGAGAAAATGAGAAAAGATGGCAGGGATTCCATGTGTGAGCTCAGTGTAGAGGAGGCCAAGACCAGGGACCCTTGAGATGCCAAGGTGGGAACCGAGGCTGTTCAAGTATTCTGTAGAAACCTTTTGCTCTACTTCAAAGTTGTGACGCTTTGTCTGCACATAGTTCCACACATACATCACAAAGTACATAGCTGAAGCAAAAGTAAGTGGAAGATAGCCTCCGCTTGTGAACTTGTAGAGCACTGAGGAGAAGTAGACAAGCTCGAAGGAGCCAAAGCTTAACACAAAGAGGGCAACGACAGGGAGGCTCGTCTGCCAGACCATTAACATTATCAAAACCAGTAGTGAAGAGGTAACCAACATCACTCCCACCACTGCAATGCCTGCGTAAAAAGACGACAAGTTCAGTGAGCAGCATAGATTATTAACCCGGGATCTTCGATTTGGTGAAAACATCAGAGAAAAGGAAAAATTGCTAGTTATCGTTTGGATTGGAGCAATGCCCACAAATTTGTAAAAGCATACTTTATGAGCTTATGTTTCAACAAAGACAAGCCCTTGATTTAGACACTTGGTTAATTTTTATGAAATTGCAGCCAATGGGTAGATGAAAATGAGCATATCCTTTTATGTATCGGCTCAAAAAAGGTTGTTTAATCAGTAGAAACTTCAAATTGAAAGAAGGTCTTCTCATCAGGTTACTGCTGTAAATCCTGATTGTCAGTTAAACAAATTAATGGTGGCCTGTTTTGCAAGTGAATAAAAAGAGTGCATACCATAGGCATTTGCAATGTTGGTTGTTTCTTTGAAGGATGCAGTGACCAAAACACAGGCCAGCATGAGTAGAAAGTTGATCTCAGGGATATAAACTTGGCCTTCATGTTTGTGCGATGTGTGAATGATTCTAACTCTTGGGAAGCAGCCTAACGCCATTGACTGCTTTATGATGGCAAAAGTTGCAGAGATCATTGCTTGGCTTGCGATGATAGATGCCATGATGGCGGCAACAAATATTGGCCAGTAAACAGACTCTGCAGCAAATGAAAACACATACAAGCAGTTCATAAACTTGCCTTGCTTCTTATAGCTGTTTGAGAGGTATAAAAGCAAATAGATGTGTTGTACTTTTACCTGGAACTGATTTGTAGAATGCGTCTGCTACATTTTCAGGGAATATAGACAAGTATGCAGCTTGCCCAACATAAGCACAGATCAAACATGGATAAACTATTCCAGAGAATGCGATCTGTGGAGCCATAGAAAACAATTTTGTTAACAAATATGTATTTATTTATGTTATAGTTCGATGAGATGCAAAAATTATCACCTGAATTGATCTCACTGAGAAATGACCAAGATCAGCAAACATTGCTTCAGTTCCTGCTCCATTGAAAAAAAAAACCCACTTTCTTTTCAGTGACAAGAATCTGCAAAGCTCAGAAGATGTCTAAAAAGGGAAGGGAGCATGGATAGCGAACCTGTCATGCAGAGAACAACTCCTCCAAGTGAGATCCACGCTGCTTTCATGTCTCTCTTAAAATATGCGATGAAGTAGATGGGATTGAAGGCCTTGAGAACGGTACTATCATGGCGGAAAATATTAAAGATTCCAATGCTTCCTATGAACATGAACCAGATAAGGATTGCGGGAGCAAAAGTGTAACCTACTTTATCTGTGCCGAACCTTTGGATCGAGAAGAGAACAACTAATATGACAACTGAAATCATGGCTACAACATCTGAAATATCATTGTAAAAGGTATAGTTAGGAATGTGAATCTGAAGAACATTAGGCCGGATTCAGGGGTAGAAAAGTGCTTACGGATTTCATTTTCTTACCTTTACTCATCCCTGCATCAAATTTCCTTACTCCATCAACCGCAGATAGAACTGCAAGATTGAGATAATTTTTTCTATGAGGGGAAGAGTAGCAGATGATTGACTATGGATGAAGTAAAACAGATGAAGTATGAGACCTGAAATGCAGGGAGTTAAGATTCCATCACCAATAACCATACAAGTACCAAGAAGCGCCATTGAAAGAAGACTTGTCTTAGCCCAACTGCTCCTCTCCAATGCGTCCTTTATCCTCTGAGCCCTCTTCAAGTTCTTGTTGGGAACCCTCAATTTATATGCAGATAGCTCCATCTCTTCTTGTCTCTCATTCGGAATTGCACTCACCTTGGAATTCCTGCATATCAGTGAGTATAGTGCAAAAGTTCCCCCTGCCAAATAAACCAATCGCATAAACAACTATGTTCCTTCCACTCCGGCACCAGAAAAGACAACAGACATAAGACGATTTACCATCTCCGTTGTCATTAGCCCAGAGTACAATGAAGACGTATTTGATGAGAGGGAAGAGAGTAAGAGTATAGATTATAAGAGACAATGCGCCAACGACGTCGTTCTTGCTAGGAATCCTGCCCGAGAACGTGCTCGAGAACACATAAAGAGGCGAGGTACCAATATCCCCATACACAACTCCAATGCTCTGAAAAGCCAGTTGCAGAACGGTGGCTATGGACAAAACCTTCGAAAATTCACAACCACAACGGAGAAACGTTAGAAAGCATTGGAAACTTGGGAACAGTAGGAAGAAGGTGGAATGCATACTTTAGAAGCACTGTGGAAGCTAGAGATCTTTCCGGCTTCGTTTTCTAGGGAATCCAACCTGAGAATCTCCTTCGTCTCATGCTTCTCTTCTTCTACTGTTTCTCTATTCTTCTCCACAGATTCAGCTTCAACTGCATCCATGCTCAAGATCACATCATCGCCCATGGTGAAGAGAAAATCTGCTTAGCAACCTTGCTCCCACGGAGATCCATGGAATGGAATCGAATCATTTTAAAAGCGGCAAAGAACGTGAAGAAAGCGGTGATGTCACCAGCTCCCGCCACCTTGGAGATTGGTTTCCGCGATCCTTCTTCGTTTCACGTTTTCAAAATAATTCGTTTGCTCACACTCGTTGTCTCTACAGTTTGTAAAATTCTAAGCACGCGGTTGTTGGAAATGGCACTAATTTATTTGCTAGCGGGGAGTCTTTACCTTGGGAAATTTTTGAATGGGGAAGGGTTCATTGTTGTTAAGTGATAAATTTTTTACTATTGAATGATAGTTTTGAGTATGAGTTTATAATTTGATTACACTTATTTTATATATTTTTATATGTTATTTTACATGTATAGTTCATTTCTTAGCCATTTTTGCAGCGTAGGGAACGAACCTCAGTTCTCCGACTATAAAAATAGGATCCTAGGAAGAGTTAGGGGTTGGACTAATTTTTATGCAATTTTACTTATGCTATTATGTTTACTATAATCTAATTTTATTGAACTTATTAGTGGATTTCTTCTTTTTCTCTCTATTGTCTTCCTTCTTTTTTCCTCTAAGCGAGTAATATTTTGATATAACTCATGGACAAAATATAATCAGACTACTTAAAGGGTGTGATGAGCATGTATCATTGTCAAATATTAAAACGGACACTATTAGATTTGTCATAGGACCAAACAGAGAACCAAACAAAGAACACATTTATAAACAAATTTTTTCTAGTAAGAAAAACAAAACTTTATGACCACTAAACTTTACTAGAATGATTCAATAAATCTTGAATCAAAAGTAGAGGATGACACTTTTAGTTCAAGTAATTAAAGACTCCACTAACTCATCAACTAGGAGGAGAATAATGGAGTGAGGGATCTTTCACTCAATAAGGTTTACTCCCTAATTTTGAAGAAAAAGAGTAACCCAAACCTTATTGATTTATGTGGCTAACAATAAGAAGCAAGCATATTTGAGAAAAGCACCGTTAACGGAAATTATTTAAGCCAAGACACTCAACAAGTTCAAGATTACATGTGCAATTTTCTTAAAATGTCAAACTAATCTAGCATAACATATTGTTTACTTTGAACTATCCATCTTATTGCTCAACATTAATGATATATTGAAATTCTGATAGTTCTTTACAACTTTTATGAAGTAAGCCATCTGTCATCTTCCACTAAAGATAATCACACCATTTTCTAAGTTTAAAAGAGTCTTTATCACTCAATGTATCGATTTCTTATGCCACTATATAAATTTATAGAGTTTGCAAGTGACTCATGAGCTTAGTAATGAGTTCTCAAACACAAGGAGTTAGTTGTGGTTGAAGCTGTCATAACCTATGGTCTATCTAATATATATTTTGGAAATAGTCTCTGCCTACAATATCCAAATTTCTTAACAAAATTGATTGAGCTCACCAACAAGTATGCAAATGTGGCAGAATACAACAATATGAAAAAAGAATTGACATGAAATTGATCAGGTTATCTAGATCAAACATAAAAATTTGATCAATTTTTATGAGAATAACGTAATTTGCCTATGTTGTTGAGGTTAAGAGTTGCTACTCTACCTCATTCTCAATCATTGCCATATAACCCCTCTTATACTCACTAACAAATAAAAAAGGCACACCATCATAAGCTTGAATAATCTTGGACAAATCACCCTTAACATTACTTGTTTAACAATTCTTAACTACTACTCTATGATGAGTGTGAATGACAAAGTTAATGGAAGTAATCTAAAACATGGAGTATTGTAAGCGCCATGTGCATGTGTGATCCATCACTTATTTGAGGGATTTCATGAAGTATTACACTTAGTAACAAATATCATGAAGTTAACACTAAGGGTTGCTACCTTAGAACTTTGGTTAAGGCACTAATTATTGCAGATAAACTAAAGAGTTTATCTTAGGTTGCTTAAGCTAATTATGGAAGATAGAAATAAACAAATGAAATTCATGCTATCTACCTAGATATCTTTTTATACTTCATTTTGGAATGATAAAAAAATAACTTTTTGGGCTATCAATAAATGAATTTGGCAGGGATAGATAAATGCTAGCTACTTTTTGTAGGAGAGAATTAAACCAAATCTCCAACCTTCACTTATAGACTTATGATTCCTTTGTAGTAAATGCTTAGCCCAAATCTAAGACCAACCTCCCTATGGTTCCAAATGTGCTCAAATTTAATTATAACTCATTCAATATAGTTAGTAGTCCAATAACAAGTTCAATTTGAGCCATTAGGCATTTTAAAAGAATAAGTAAACCCAGGAAACCCAAAATCAAATCTAATGCCCTAGAGGCTTTCCTAGTAACTTTAATAACATTCTTAGGCACTTTGAGATTATAAGACATGATTAATAATGTTCTAAAAAGTCAGCTGTAATTGACTTATAAGGCTCGCAAACATTAATTGTCTATTTTATCCAAAATTTTGAATCTTTTTTAATTTTTAAATTCCTAGATATTAAAAAAAATTAACACTATCATTGTCTTGTCCAAATCCCCATATGTAAAAAGTGTGAGCTTTTCATTAGGTAGTTGATAGCCAACATAAAAATTTTGTTAAAAAATTGTAATATGAATCCTTTAAACCATTATGTTAATGATAAGGTGTTCCCTAGAAGTGACTTGTTGTATGGGCTAAATATATTGATGTGCAAGGGCCATTGCATCAGTGCCCAAGTGTAGTATTGATTAAAGTAAAGATTCTCTCATTATGAATGGATGCATACAAAAAATTTATTATAAAAAAATATTAGGATGAGAACTTGAACTATATAATTTCATAGGTAAATTAATAGAATTAGTAGATATTATAATTCATTGCAAGATAGTTATTATATACATTCAAGAAATTAATTGTGTTGGAGAAAAGGTAAAGGAGAATGATAGTTTAGAATTAAACTTTAGTATTTAGGTAAGAGGCATACTAGAAATAATATATACGTAATTATAAATAAGAGTTTGAAAGATTATTTTTAAAAATTGATAGAATTAGAGATATAATTATATATTTAAAATTATTTTTTATACTAAAATTCCTAATAATATAAGTTTTTGTGCTCCCAAATAGGTTTGGATATATGTTCAAAAGAAAAAAAAATTGGATTGATCTATAAGAATTAAGCCTAAGGATACATCTTGAAGAAATAATTTGTATTGGGAGAGAATTAAATGGACATGTTGGTAGAACGAAAGAAGAATTTAGAAGTATTCTTGGTGGCTATAGCTATAAAGTGACTAATAAAGAAGGTAGAGTCATATTAGATTTTACTAAAATATTTAACTTTATTATTATTAATACATTATTTAAGAAAAGAGATGATCATACAGTCACTTACAATAATAGATCAAATTCAAACTAAATTGAATTTTTTCTTACAAGAAAAATAAATTGTAAGGTTATTCTAAGTGAAAATTTATGTATCCATCTTCGATTTTTGGTTTTGAAATTTAAGATGAAGGACTAAAAAATGAAAAAATAATGAAATATTATCATAGAAATAAATAAGGGAACTTAAATAACATAAATAAAATCATTTTAATGAGTAAACTTTATGATCATAAGATTTGAGATTCTTACGATGAGATTCTTATGAAGAAACTAATAATATGTAGGATAATGTGACAAATATTATTAAGCAAGTGCAAGAGATGCAATTTAAGAATAAAAAAAATTAATAAATAAAAATAGTTGGTGGTGGAATAAGAATGCGTAAGAAAAAATAAAAATAAGAAACTATATTTTAAAATTTACTTTAATTACTAAAGCTTAGTGAATTGGAACAAATATAAATGGAGTCTAAGAGAAAAATTTATGCTGCTAAGAATTATACCCTTAATGATCCTTATAAAAAATTAGATATTAATGATGGTGAAAGATATATGTATAAACTAGCCAATCAAATATATAATAAAATTTTAGTAAAGTGTATTAAGGAGGAAAATTAAAAAGTACTTTTCTTAGATTAGGATACTCAACATAGGTGAGTGAGATATTTTAACAAATTTCTTAATGAAGATTGTGAAAATACAATTGATGTTATTGTTCTTAATATCATAAATAAAAATATTTTTTTTTAATTTTCACTATCAGACTAACAAAATAGATATTAAGAAGGCATTAAAGAAAATGAAGTGTGAAAAAGTAGCAGAACCTGACGATATTACAATAGAGGTGTGGAAATACTTTTGAAAAATAAAAGTTCTTAACTAACTAAATTTTTTAATAATATTTTAAAACTAAAAAGATGCATGATGGTTGGAGAAAGAGTCTATTGATTTTTATTTTCAAAAATGAAGGGGATGCACAAGAGTGTACAAATTATATAAAAAAAAAAGTTAATTTGTCATATATTAAAGTTATTGTTAAGAGTAATTGAAGAACATAAGTTACGATGTGATATAAAAACTTATGAAAAATAGTTTGGATTCAGGATGGAAAAGTATACTATGGAACTATACATTAATTAAGAGGTTTGATAGAGAAGCATAGAGAAGGTAAAGCTACATAAATTTTTTGTTGATTTAGAAAATGCTTATGATAAGATTCCAAGAGAAGTACATTGGAGAGTTCAGTAAAAGAAAAGTGTTGACATTTATTTTATTAAAATTTTAATGATGGGTATACTAAAGTTGTGAATTTCTTTCAAACAAAAGGAGGATTAGACAAGTATTTTCTTATTTTATTTAGATTACATCAGGGATTGACTTTAAGCCTATATCTTTTTTCTTTAGTTTTGCATGTTCTTATTGAACATTTATAGAAGGATGTACCTTAGTGTATTCTTTTCACTATTGATATCTTTCTTGTGTATAAGATTTGAGATTGTTTAGGAAAAAAATGAACTATGGAGGTCAACTTTAGAGTCTAAAGGCTTTGATTTATGTAGATTTAAACTAGATATATGAAATGTAACTTCAGTATTAGTAGATCTAGTGGTGGGGTTGTAAGAATGGGTATTCAAGTAATTAAAAGGAGTGAAAATTTTAGATATCAGAGTGAACATTTTAGATATCTCAGGCATATTTTTCAAGTTGATGGTGATATATATGAGAATATTATAAGTAGAATTCAAGATGGGTGGTATAAGTACAAAAATGTGTCGGGTCTATTATGTGATAGAAAAGTACTGCT